TACAAAATCGACTGATTCATTTCATATTACTAAAATTTTACCATCTCTGTCTATCTCGTACTCTACGTCGTATTTCTATCCATTAGCACGCATTGATTGTATCCTTATTCCGTTCTATTGTTCGTGATTAATCGTGTAAATTGAATTAAATTGTTAAACAAGTAGTATATTATTAACTAACACACAAACCTCATATGGTGTTCATATGGTTTCACATTTTCGTACAACGTTGTTGTTGAATGTACTTTTATATTTTATGCGTACATTAAACTGCGCATAGAGATGATGCTATGCTATCACATCCATTTGGTTTGTATACAACCAGCCAATAGGCAGACCAATCTTTGTTGTTGATACTTTTTTGTTTGCTGTTTTGTAGCATTATAACTGCGTTGCACTTCACAATGCCAAGTATATAAAACCTTCCAATTTTCGTCGCCACAGGATATATATTCTTTTGTTTTCAGTGAAGTGCTCGATTTCAATTTCATTGATTTCTGTTGATGTTTCAATCGGCATTGAAAAATGACAATTCTGCTTAAAAAGTCATGAATGTGTGCGCACTACTCGAACTTCGAATGGAAATTAAATTTATTATCGAATAATTTGATTAAATAAACATTAAAAATGATGGGTCATAGAACCAAACAACTGGAAACACTTTAATACAATGGGCGCTTCAGTGGGCTGCTAAGATAATGCATTTCTTGACTGGCTTCATACACACATGTTCATCATTTGCTCATGTATTTGCACAGTATGTTCCATCATTTATTCAACATTTAATTACCTGTGTGATACTTTAAAGTGACCATGCCTTTGACAGGCTACAAATTTAAGATATTCTGGACATGCTGAATTAATTTTACTTTAGATATTATTTGTAAGCCTATGTTCGAAGCCATTTTCAAGTTGAATATTCAAAATTTTACCATCATATGCATTTCGTCGAATATCTTAAACCGACTTAGAGTCCGAATCTTAACCATATTCAGTGCAAGTTTATCCCATGGGTATGCTTGGAAGTGACTTCAACGAAATTTATTAGAAAATAAAAGTCGATCAAGTCTACATTCCGATACGAATGCTGTGTTCGTGTTATCCATCCATTATTTGGTCCGAAATTTATTTACCAATGCTAGCAGAATTGGTCTTTGGCCTCGATGATAACAATCATCAACGTTCATTACCTTTACACTTATTGTGCACGTGTGCTGTGATTTCGTACGGTTATTCATTATGTTTGCCGATTCAAACCGAGAATCGTTAAATCTTTTTCGGTTTCTCTGATTTTTGGCCAATACGTGATTAAAAGCTGAAATAGAAAACCAAAAGTATACCGTTAAATTAAGCTTTGCGCCCGCTACATAAAATTCCATGCACAGCACATACATACATACATAAATAAATACAAAGCAAATTATAAGAAAACGAACATGACTCGGTCCAAATGAAATAAAATCAGTTAATTCATTCATTTGACTTAGTCTCTATATAGAATTAGATTTGTCGGTGTGTACATTGGGCCACTGAATTGTTAGAACATTGCACAAATTTAAGTGCACAACTGCACAAGCTGCATTTCAATCCAAAAATTTCAACCAAACTGAAATTCAATTGGTTTTTATCAGTTTTTGCAACTCTTCTTCTCGCTCTTCGCCAACAAATTGGGGCTCTCATTGAGAAATGAGAACTTTTCAATTTGGTAAATTCTTTATTTATATAAAGCAAAGCAACTCTTGATTAAAATATCAGTAAATCAAATTGAAAATGTCGAAAGTCGAAACGAAAACAAATGCCATTGTTACAAACTAAAATCAATTGTACGGTAGTTTTACTGTTTTCAACATTCGGATGTCGACTCGAAGTAACAGAAAAGAAACACAACAGCAAATGATCATGTGATTAACAGATTTTTGGTCAAAATAGACCGAGAAAAAAAAACTGAAATTTACAATTGCAGCACCGACTGGTTTTTCATGGAATAAAAACATTAAAAGATTCGGATCGGTATTTTTTTTGTGTTTGCCGCACGCAAGAAATCGTTTTGAATTTAAATTGCCGAGATGAGCAAATTTGGAAAATTTTTATTCCGTTGGAGTATCTGTGGTGGAATTTGGAATATCAAGAGCAAGTCTTATTTATTTACCAATGGTCTGTGTGCAGTTTTACAAGCTCATTTGCTCATAGCATTATTCTGAGTGGGTTTCGTTTCGTTCCTCTTTTTTTTTGTCTCTATTGTTTGGCTGGTGATTTGCTTCATTATTGCTTACGAGTATTTACTTCGATTTCCCAACAAGCTAATCAACCCTTTTTACGGTCAATGGAATTCATATTTTTGTTTGCACAACTCACACTCTCCGATGTCATGCACGTGCGTGTACGCGCTTTTATTCGGCCAGCCAATCGTTTTTGCGAACAAAAAACGAGTGTGGCAATAAGAAAACTCTTTGACAGTGAAAAATGTCCATTTTTCATAACCATTTGCACTGAGCTAAGCAATTCCGGCTGATACGCAAACAATTTTTTTTTTCGTTGTATGATTGATTAAATTCTGTTTGGAATTATCGTCGACGCTTTCCATACAATTTTATAACTTTTGGCCACATTCTTCGTGTATATATTTATATTCATATCTCGGAAATAAATTTGTAAATGAAGCGCCTGAATTGAAGTAGCATTGTTGATGATGCGATGAGGGGGAGAGAAAGAGAGTAACAGGAGAGACAAATTTGAATGAAAGAAAAGTTTTGGAAAACCTTCAATGTTAAATGGTTCGATATTGAATTCATGATAAGCTTAAACAAGACATTTTATTTTGCATATTATTAATCATCGAACCACTGACAATGACTGTGTTTTCACAGTAAATTTTGCACCAATAACGAATGAACCATTTCGATGGAAAGAAAAATTTATTATCATTTTTTTTTTAAATTCGTGTAAATAAATTAAAAATTTAAAATGACCTAGTGATGACCGATTTTATTTGATAAATTTTGTCACACACACAAACGCACTGTCGAATGCAAGAAATTGTCCCAGTGCTCATATCACCGCGAATGGTCTTTTATAAGGGAAAACTAGTTGAGACTACGAAATACGTCATCAATCGAAGTTTCAATTCAGAATCGTGCAATGAAAAAGTGGTTGACAATGGTTTGTCAATTTAAATATTATTTGAAGATGATTGGTACAAGCAGAAAATTAAAGCATGTGCGCTCCTCGTTTCACATTAAGATGTCTACATGGATCGGAGAAAAGCGAATGAAGAAGAGCGAAAGAGAGAAATACAAATAAAAACACAATGCTTGAAGTAATTCGAATAACAAACAAAACTGTAAAGCCAAGGCACTGTCGGAGAGCGAAAAGAAAATCACAATGGTGGAAAGTGCCAAAGCTAAAAAAGACATGAAAAATAAATAAATAAACATCTCCGCAGGGGTGTATTTATCTTGTAAATGAACGAATCCCTCTTTGGTTCCATGTACAGGTTGCTTAATTTTCTCGTATTGTGACGGCTCTATATTTCTCCCTTGTTCGCCCTTTGTATATTCTTTTCGCTTGTTTGTCAATGATCAATGCCACTGCGATTCAAATAACTATCGCATTTGACTGGTGAGCTCTCATATTGACAATTGTTTTGGTGCACGCAATTTCAAACGCACACAATTCTCTCGTTGATTACATGCGCCCTGGAATTCTCCCACACCTTTCGGAAATCCACTTAAAAATTGAAAACCGGTTTTGTTGTACACACAATATTACCGCATTAGATCGATAAAACGATATCAATCTTTTTACACCACTCAAAAGTGTTATTCAATCGTCTCTATTTTCCGAACCATTATTAATACTAAATAGCAATTTTTTCTTCAAATATTCAATTAGCTTTACATTAAAAAAAGGACACCACAGCTCACAGTTCAATCGGTGCCATAAGTGTGTGAATAATGTTTACAAAACATATACGCACACGAGTATCGCAACCATAAAGTGTGTCGACTGCGCACATTGAAAAATACCTATAAAAATAAATCATCTGGAGATGATTCAAGTTAAAATCATTCAACAGTCAAAAATCGGAAAATTCATTTGGATAATTGAGCTCAGCTGTTGCACATTTCGTTTTTTTTTTCATTCTAAAGAAGCAAAAAAAAGGTCATATTTTGAATTATAGCTCAGTTGTTGTTTCATCTTGCTTGAATGCGAAGCGTGTTTAAATTTAGATTGGTTCCTCTTATAGTGTGGCCATTCGCGATTTGGAATTGCAAACTGCCATATTTCGAAATGATTCTTATATTGACTGAGAAATACTTAAAAATAGCATCCAATGTCGTTGTTAAAAAAAATTGCTGTGTATACGTGAAAAAGAGCCACTTTGATATTATAGTATATGCCATAATGTTTTTGTGCGACTTTGGACAAAAATGTGTAATCGGCAGAGTCAAAGAAAAAATCCGCACCGCTTACAACCGAGAAAAATTGAATTGAAAATATATCTGTTTAAAATAGAAAGAACGAAGAGCAGTACGCAAAGTCTCCCCCGCATTATTACGAATAGTTTTATTTTTGGATTGTGTGAAAATGAATCGCGTCGTCTAAGTGATTTTGCGGCATTCAAAGCGAATCGAACGAAATAAAATAAGCCGCAGCGTGATTTAGACAGACAGAAAGAAATTCGATAAACATAAACTCGACACTGATACATGTTATTTTTTTTTATTTCTTCATAAACACAATGCAAAATAACAACATGACAATGCAAATAAACGACTTATGTTAGCCAATTCATTGAAGCATACACGATTTGAAAAACGACACACAAAATCTTGTTATTTTTATGATCGAAAATATTTGTACCATACTAATTAATAATGTACATTTTTTATGACAATTTTTGTGGCGCGAATTGAATTTGTACGGCGCCGCTTGAACCGTTGCTTCATCAATTTTATTAAAAATTGATTATTTTCTTTTTTTTCATTTGTTATTTATAGGTGTGGTTCCAAAATCGTCGGGCGAAATTTCGCAAACAGGAACGTTTGGCACAGCAAAAGGTATCGAACTCATCTGATTCACCAATCAAATCCGAAGGTAAATCCGTTGGAAATACAACACCAAAGGATATTAAGCCCGGTTCACCGAATTCCACTGTTTCGACAACGCCGAATTCAAGTGCTTCATCTCATCATTCGAACGGTGACATCAAACCCTTAAATGGTTAGTATATCTCAAAAGATGCAGCATCGATAATAAATTATTATTCCGTGTCGCTTCGACTTGAAACTTTTTTTAATCTGTAGCATTCGGAACATTGCGCAATTTGCATAGAAGAATCCAAAACATCATCTGGGTCGGGGTAGACTCTTAAAATGACAAATTAACTCTCTCCATTTTGTAGCGCACAGGTTTCGCCGTATTTTTAATTTGAACGGACCTACATTTTTTTTTTGAGAAAAACAAGAACAACCCGAAGTGTGCGTGTTTGTGTGTGTCAGAGAGAGAGAAATTGTGTGTAGTAATTTTCCTTAATTTGAATTTATATTTTGAATCCAAGTTATTTCCATACAGTAATTTTCCGCCCAAACATATGCACCACACATGGAAACATAAATTTATGGACATTCGTATGATCAGAAAAATGATTGAGTGTCTTACTCTCATTTCTCTCTCACACTCTCGATTGTTATTTGAATTCATTTCGCACCGCTCTCTCTCTCTCTATCTCTCTCTCTCGCTCTCTCTGTGTGTGTGTGTGTCTTTCTCATACTCTCTCAGTTCTCTGTTGGTTTTGTTACATCAGGTTGTGAAATGAAAGCAAAGTGTGTAAAAAGTCTGAGCGTAAATTGAACGAATAACCAAATATAAATAACATTGAATGCAGCATTTGATTCCAACAAGATTTCAATATACCAAGAATCCAGCGCACACACAAAAAAAGATTGTTCATAAGGTCAATCTTTGCATATGTTGAGCAAACAAATCTAGATACAAAAACAATTGATAAGCAATTTTTTCCTAGATTTTTTCTCTCCGATTTTTCCTCTCATTTTTATGAAAAAGTCTCTTCGTTATTTTTTATAACGGAATTTCGTTCACTGTTTTGCAATTCAATTTTTTCCCTCGCGTTGAAATGCCAAAATGAATAAAATTGAACGTGTTTCCATTAGAAAAATTCGTGGAGCTTATTTTGCTTCGTACATTTTTTTCTGTTTCATATTGTTTTTTTTTTTTCCTTCACTGGTAGTTGGATGTTGGCGTGGAGCCGAAGCCACAAACGGGATGAAAAAGATGCAAGACAAATAACATAGAATACAAAAATAAAATAAAAAAGAGGTTACACTTTTAAATGCATTGTGCTGCATTCGTATACACAATCATTCGCTACAAAAATGGTTGAAGTCTCGAAAATATTCCAACAAAAAATTGAAATTGCACAGCAAATGATATCTCATTCATTGAGGATAGAAACCATTTTCATTGGATTTGTGTTGTTGTTGTTGTTAGACTCTCCTACTTTTTTCTTTTACCATTTTTTTCGGTATTCTTTTGGTCGGTCGTTTGCTTAGCATATCGTATCGCTTTGTTGGCGAGAGAGAAAGAAAATCTTCTTCAATTTAAATTGATATTAAAGTGAAAATGGTGACAATGTGCGCCACACCAATTTTGACATTAATTCAAATAAATGAATAGCAAAAAGCCAATTTTCCAAATTAAGTGCAATAAGAAATGTTTTGCAAAGTATTGAAAATCTTTTTGGGCGCCGCATTTCATTGCTCTAAGTGAACGGTGTGTGTGTGTATTTGCTGCAAATCATCGTATATTCGAATGACGGTAGTTTTGAACTTTATTCCTTCATTCGTCTCCCCCTCCCCCCAACTCTCTTGCGTTCTCTCCGTATTATAAATGTTTATAGACGCTATCCAACCGAATCAAAACAGCAAACAGTTTAACGAACAGCATGCGCGAAGCGAATACATTGTGACTGAAAATTCAAGGATTTTGTATGCTCAAAATACACGTTGAACAATTTTTGATGTGGAAAATACGTAGATTATTAAACGATGGCAGAATAAAATGGTGTGGTTCTCCTCCTCCACCTCGTTTCAAAACGAAAAAAAAAATTCAAATATCGACTCACAAAATGGTCTTATACGAGCATAATATGAATCACACAATGCTCTCGATAAATATTGTTGAGGCAAAATAATAAAAAAAATCATAAGTTTAAGCGAACAAATCATAAATAATATGCCGTTTGGTTTTCTTATTGTTTTCATATAAGACGAACGGTCATTCAGTGCTGCATCATAAAATCGTATTAAGATGTCGGTAAATATAACATACGACAATGGACAACATCGAAACGAATAATATAAAAATGATAGAAGATCGCTGCGCGAACAATGGAGCAATGCATAAACGAGGAGGAGTGCCTTGTTTGAAGCAAAAAAGAGCATCTTTGCAATGGCCTGCCAAGTATTTTAACACAAACACACACACACAGCCAGTCGATTTGCTCTCATGTTCCCGTTCATCGATATTTATTTTCACGATAAGTGGATATGATTACATATTATTCTATGATTCAACAAAAGCACTTTTCTATTGCTCTTTTTTGCTATTCATATGATTTAGGAACACATCTTGGATTTTAGTTGGCAACAAAGTTATATGTTGTTGTTTTTCTTTTATTTTCTCGATTCACTCCCTTTCTTCATCATCATATGTATAGAAAATCAATAAACATCTACGAATACAATTCGTACAACTTCTAGTTCATTATATTGTCGAACGACTTGAAGGATGGACATTCGAGTAACCAATCTGCCATAAAACACATTTCCAGCGAGTGGCAAATTTGATTTTTCATCTTTCATAAATCACATACATTCATAAACTCCATATGCGAAATGCTAAAACAATTTACGAAAACGATTTGTCACTATCCTTTGGTCGAAGAACAGAAAGAACAACAAAAAAAAACTATTCATAGTCACTTGCTCATAATTCTGTCATTTTTTACTGTCGTTTTTTTTCTGGACTTTTTGTTTTTACCACTGAATGGGAAAAAAGTTTCGATTCCGACATATTGAAAGTGAAATAAATCATTTTTCTTTTGTTATTTGTTTCGTTTTGAAGCAAAAGAATCACTTGTCGAACTGGTTTATTCTTCTTTTTTTTTAATCTGATTTGTTTCTTTTTCGTTTTGTTCTCTTTCGCTTAAAAGGAAAATTATCCGACGATTTGAATGTGAATAACAATAAATGGGCTGGCGGATCGAATACGTTATTGCAAAATAACAGCAACAACAGTCATCATCAATTACTCAATAACAATAATAGCAAACAGAGCAGTTTGGGTACCGGCCTATCAAATCATCAACACCATCACCATGCACTTTCAGCGGCCGCACTATCATCACCGTTCTCATCGTTACTGAGTGCCGGCAGTTCGGCTGGTTACCTGCTTGATCCATTGGGCGGTTTCAATAAACCAACCACAGCGAATCACTTATTTTAAAAAGAATTGTAAACGATTTTTAAATTTTAGTGAATATAATATTAATATTTATAATTAAAAAAATTAACATACACATTTTCTATACATAAATATCGACATTTTACGAACACAACAAACATTAACATTTTCTCCAAAAACTGAAATAAAATGTGTCTATAAAATTAATTAATTTCGATCGATAAGTAAAAATTATAAATATCATAGAATCCAAAATTTAAATGGCGCGCTCAATGTGAATTTGTCACAAAATTATAGCATCTGCATATATTTCTATCCGTATAGTGAAAACAAAACAAAAATCTCTCCTTGAATGTCATTTTCTATTTGTAAATACAGTGTGCAACAGACAAAACAAATGTGGCCAATATTGAATCCAAAAAAAAGGAACAAAACCGGGTTTTTATTTACTGTTCGATTGATAACGTGAGAAAATATTTATCTTTTATTTATTTTTGGAAAGAATGTTTGAAAATTTAACTCCTACATTCCATTTGAGAACACCATTTGTGTTAAAAGACACCATTTGGATGAACAACCGAATAGATATAGATTTTCATGTTAGAATGTTAATGGAACAGTTTTGCAAAATAAAAACCTTGTGATTTATTTAAAGAAATGATTACTTTTGAGTTCATAGTTTTAAATTATTCTAGGGGCATTCGTATCAGAAGATAAATATAGATTGACAAAGTAAAAACTGATGATTATTTTTCTTTTTTCATCTCAGAAAATGACCCATCACCTGAGAGCATTTGAAATTTATAAACGTGTCAGTTTTATCATTTTTGTTCTAGTAAAAACTCACGGAATCTATTAGATATTTTGTGATGATCAAACATTTTTCTGGAATTATCAAAAACGTAATAATTACGCTATAAGTTGTAAATAAAAATGCTTGTCTATCCCAAAGAAAATACGAAATAAACATAATTGTAAGTTCAGGAGAGAATAGAAGAAAGAAAGAAAAGAAAAACAGTAAAAAAAATGCGATAAAATTGGTCGTCCTTGGTGTAAACGATGAAAATAAAAATCAAATGATTAGTCATGCTTCACTTCAAATGTTTCGTCGATGGAAATGGTTCGTATAAACGGCTATCGACCGCATATATTCGCATGACAGTGTGACTGTTTGCGTTCGTGAATTGGGTCATTTTTACATACTCGTGACTGAGAGCAACTCATCTCATTACTAAAAGATTTGAGTTCCATCAGTTCATTTGTCGATCACGTCAATTTGAGCATCTTCTTAAACGCGTAAAGTTCGAGAGAAAAAAAGGAGACAGATATGAACATTAAAGAGAGACAAAAAAAACACTAGAGTATACGTCCAATCCACAAATATGAGTCCTACTGTATCGATAACACCAGCAGATTTTTTTGTGTGTCACATTTTTGCTGGGGTTTGAACACAATTTCACAATCTACCTAAAAATTGTATACGAAAAATAATATGAGGCGCCCAAATCGTGAAAATTTTTCTTTTTTTGCTCAATGTGTAATTGATTTCATTAAGCTATTTTTCGCTATGAAAAAAAAAACGATGTCTAAATTTGAGAATTGAGTTGATTGTTGGCATTTTGCATTGGTTCCAACATTTTTCCTTTTCCAACAGATGGTAACTTCACATCAAACAAAATATCTTGATATCATTCTGAATATAGACAACAATTGGATGGCATTATTTTTTCTAAAATCGATTTTGTACATAGATGACTTGAAATCAAATTCGACTAAAAAGAAACTTTTTTGTTTATGACTCACGTTATAATGGTGTTACAGAAACAAAAAAAACACACACACAAATACAATATATACACAATTCAAATCTGATTCAAACAAGTTAGCCATATTAATATTATATGAATAGATTGATTTCTAAGATATTTAGCGTAAGCCACAATAAAAACCCAAAAACCCATTGAGCTAATGTTTAATTCAAATGAATGAAGAAAAAAAACCAACAAATTTGAACATGAAAACAAATCGAAATGTTTAATCAAGTAAATGTAAACTTAAATAATGTAATAAGAATAAAATGGCAAAAATTTCCAAAAAGAAATACAAATACATAATTTTAATTGAAACATTTCGGCTTTAATTGTTTGTAATATGGTAATAATTTATTTGGATAGAACATCATTTTTGAGTTAAGGTAACACACATTTCAGTAACACAATAGCAAACTATCAAATTCGTTCAGATCCGAATGCAGACAGTTGAACAACTCAATTTCTTTTAAACATATCTAGTTTTATGACAGCGAAACCAAATTAATTATGTGTGTCTATCCGTACGTCATTTTTGTCACAACATGCAATTATACATAATGATTTGCCATCTTTTAATTTTATGAATATTATTCAACGATTCCGCATGCAATTCTCTTAATGTTTACAATGAAACAATCTACATCGATGATTGCCGCATTTTGTTTTTTCGTTTGAAAATCTCAACATTTTCATACATTTTGCCAATTTAAATATGAACAAAATATGAAATAATGATCACAAAATGTCTTGGAAGTATCTAACGATCGAATTGAATCATTTGATGCAAATGGAGTTAAGCTTAAAAATACCCAATATATTGGCGAAAAATATCGCACATGGATACGGAATCACTTTTGCCGGTTTCTTTTTGACGTTGAATATTCACGACGTGATCCACTTAAAAATATGGCCTGCAAAACTAATGATCCACATCAATGTAGCCAATGTATGATGTATTCTCCATTCTAATTGTATTCCAAAAAAAATATCTACTTAGGATGACTGTGTCGACTGATTATAGCGTCTGGCGCATTCAAATTCCGAAACATTCCACGAAGCAGCGCAAAAGAATGAAAAAGAAAAAAAACATTTGTAAAAAATAGTTTTCACATCACATCAATGTTTACCTTCTATTTTGTTCTATTTCTTCGATGTCGGTTTTCGGAAATCGTGCTGCGCGCAATGGCAAGGTGATTTGTTCGTGATTTGGTTTGTATATATGTATTTGTGTGCGGCTATGTGATGTTTACATATTTTTCATATGCCGTATGGATTTTCTCTTACATATTCCGAGGGCGTGGGTGGATCAGTGATTCGCAAAAATTCGGTATATGATGTGGCTCGTTTAAAATATTGTATTGAGTCAAAGTCAAGCAAACCGTTACACACAAATACATACAGATTTTGAATGCGAAGCAAACCTTTATAAGCGACTGGATCGTCAACGATCGATATTAGTTTGAAAAGTGACTCCAATCGAGTAGCAACTTATCCTGTCGCAAATTTAAATACAATTTTAAAAAAAATCAATCAACATGTCTTTGCAACGTCAAGTAGCAGCTAAGGTAAGATTTTTTTCGATTGGTGAAATGGTGTGTGAAAAGTGAAATCTATCCGAGGTGGAGTGATGGAAAAGCAAAACAATGTGAACGATAAAGAAAAAAAAACTTGAATGTGAAACACACAAAAAAAAATCCATAACGATCGGAACGATTTTAAAGTGATAAGTGACTTTAAAGTAAACATGTGACTAATAATATAAAACGAATTCTCGTCCTTATTCCAGATCGCTAGCAAACGTGATCCAGTTCAGGACAAAGAAGCCCAAGAATGGATTGAAAGCGTCCTTGGATGGAAATTCCCAGCTGGTCAAGCATACGAAGATGTCCTTAAGGACGGTGTTGTTTGCTGCAAATTGATTAACAAAATCAAGCCAGGATCAGTTGCAAAGATCAACGAAACTGGTGCCACATTCAAATTGATGGAAAATGTCCAAAACTTCCAAAAGGCATTGAGAGAATACGGTGTGCCAGACATTGATGTCTTCCAAACAGTCGATCTCTTCGAAAAGAAGGACATTTCTCAAGTCACAAACACATTCTTCGCTCTTGGCCGTGCTGTATGGAAAGACCCCAAGTGGACCGGACCAAAATTGGGACCAAAACCAGCCGACCAAAACGAAAGAGAATTCACTGAAGAACAATTGAAAGCTGGTGAAACCATCGTCGGTCTTCAAGCCGGTCAAAACAAAGGTATATTTCATTGACTGTCAGTTAATAATTTTCTTCAGTTTTTTTAATACACTTTTTTTTTTGTTTTCCATTTGTTTTTGCAATACAGGTGCCACACAAGCAGGTTCAAACATGGGCGCTGGCCGTAAAATCTTGCTCGGCAAATAAGCAAATCAATCATCAATACCATCATATCAGCAACTGATGAATAATAGTCAAGCTGTATATTAAACAATCCCATTGCAGCATTTTCACAATTTTCTTTCAAATTACTATATTCGTATATATATTTAATGTTATAATAATATGACTTTTGTAATAAATTATCACACACTGGTCAAGTAAATTGTGAAATGGTTTTTGCTTTCATTTTTTTCTTGTACAAAACAAGATTTTTACATTTTCAGCTCAAAAATACACATTTAAATCATTCTTAATTTTTAGCTGAATGGTCAATTTTTTTTTCTATAGCTTTTGGAATTGTATGATCTTCAACCTTTGGCCATTTCAAAAAGACTCCATCGCTTTTGATCATTACGAGCAGGGTATAGCTGGTATATACGTCGTCAATACATCGGAAAGATGCTGAGAACGCTTATTTCAAAACATGCATAAAAATAACAAATCAAAAAGTTGCAGACATATTTGATGTAAAAAATTCAGAAAAAAAAAATCGTAAATGATATACAAACACATTGTATCGTGTGTTTCAGTCAATTCTCTACAAGTGTCAGAAGCAGAAATAAAAGCGAAATGATTCATCAAAATCCACGAGCAGCAGCTGAATATTCATAATGCAATTTTTTTTATCTTTTTTGAATAGAAGTTTTATTGTGCATAGCAAAAACAGCTGCATATGAATATTAAACGGAGTATCTTGTACGAATTCACGTCTCAAAATACACTTTGCACCTAACTATGCCTCTCATTTGGGACGTTCTTAAAATTAGGCTAAAAATAAATGCTATTTTCTCATCCAAAAAATATCTATCTGCGACACTATCGAAGAAGGGACACGATTGTTGGCGCTTTATTATTAATTTGTTTGAAATAAGTTCTGATTCATTCGAAATATTTCGAAGTTTTTTTTTTTGGGGTTTTTTCATCATTAATTCATTTAATTACAAATCGGTTCATATGTAACTCAAGTTTTTATTGCAAATGGTTATAGATTCTGCCAAATAAATATCAATTAAAAAAATTGATAGATCCTTTATCGCTTTATGATCTCAAGCAATAACTAACAAACGAATCAACTAAATCAGTTCACTCATTCCAATGGAGTAAGGTATTCGCTGCTAGATGGCATTCAAATTTTCTATTTACATAAGAATGGATGGTATCATCTACAAATTATTATCTTTAACTGAATTGAAGAGGTGAAATGATACATTTCGATTTGAATCAATCAAAATTATCCGGTGCGAATTATTGTAACAATGTAGGTGTTTTTTAAACTATGACAATCACATTGCTATTCATAATCTTAGATGATAAATCGTAATATCAGATGACGTCATCCAGATGAGTTGAAATATGAATCGCAAAAAATATTTCAGCACTATATAACGCATGAGCCATGTAATCTATTCCTTGTAACTGCTAAAGGTGCTGGTTTAAGGTAAAAGTGTATTCAAAAAAACGTAAACGTATAGAAGACAGAAAAATTTGTTAATTCATATATATTGACACCACAAAACCATTTAAACAAACTTGAACCGATAGGCGAATGTTTTTGCTACACTCACAAACCACTCCTTGTATCTAAAAAATCAAGTATGTATGTTTTAAAAATATTTTTTAATTGATTTTTTTTTTTTTCACAAAAAGCATGATTAATAACTTTTCTCCAAACTGTCAGTTTATGATTCCAAAATTTAAAACAAAATGAAATATGAATTGTTCGCATTTTTCTTCGCTATTGCATTCACGTTCCTATTGAAAGCTTAGAAGCCAAACAACCAGGAAAAAAGATAAAAACAATTAAACAATAAGAGTAAAATGAAATAAATAAAATTCCATCGGGAATAGACCGAAATTGTAACCAAAACTAGCTAAATGAGCGAATATTATTTCATTGAAGAACATTATAAATCATAAAATTGTTTCTATTAGATTTCTTAACGGTAATAAACGAACAAATGAAAAATTTCATCAATCAAGTGGAGTGTGGTATTCATTGATAGATGGCATTGTAGTTTATATTTGCTTAAATACATATAATCATCTTCAAATGTCTTTGTTTCATTTCTTCAATTTTAATCAACCATTTATTCGTAAAAAATATTCATTTTATTTTTATTTAACATTTGTTTTTTTTTTAATATGCACAATGCTATATTTTGAAAATAGATTCAAGCAGCACATGAGACTGTCAGACACTTCATTACCGACTAAAGTAAAAAAGCTTTCAAATGAAGTGGAGGTGGTCAGAATCTGTTTATTTCTTTGTAATGAGATGATTTGTGGGTCAACCATTTTACTATACTTGTTGAATATCTGAAAAACCCCAATCTGGTTTCGGAAATAAAATATGTCAATATGAAGGAAATGGTATGCCATCAAGTAAAGTTTATCACAAAAATAAAAACGAGTAATAGAAAAAACTTCTCGTTTCCTAGGATGAAATGTGGTTTAAAACCGCAAACCATTTTCCAGTATATTATTTGGAAACTATCATGTTGACTTACAAATGTGGAAAAGATATTTTCGATTGTTTGTTTTCATTTGATTGTGATGTGATGTGTTTCAAAATTCTCTGGCATTCGGAAAATTCACCATCATTAAAATGAAACAATATACAAAACAAATATTTAAGAAAATATCGTGAAAACGGTTGAATAAAATGTAAATTTATTTGTTGCTGTCTTTCTCATTGATATGAAGAAAAAAAACCAGAAGAAAACAGTTCGGCAGTTTGATTGGGATGATTGTGTTGACTATTTATAGATGGCCGCGTTAGATAAAAAGTGTTTTCATGCCAACAGACGATATTTTTGAGTTCTTTGAAATTCAGAAAAAATGAGAGAAAGGGAGAGAGAGAGAGCAAAATAACAGCGTAATTTATGCACAATTTTCCCCTTCAAATATTGCTTAGCGTTGAAATTATATAATAACAAATATTTCGGCAGCTCAATCAGCCTATATACTTCAATCACTCAATTGATTAGTTGAGTTTTCAATGCTCTATTTTATTGGTGTGAAATTGAACCGAATCTTTTGCACATCATACACAACCTTTTTTTTTTTGTTATGAAACAAATTTTGAAATTTTTCAAGTTCACTTACTTATAGTCATAATATCCACTAATCCGATACACCACTCATTTATGGAGAATCGTGTAGATTTTTCAATATAAAATCATCTCCGAAATTGTTTTTTTACGGTTTCTTGTTTGGTTGGACGAAATGAAAACAAATCTTGTTATGATGAATGATGCGAAGAGGAGGATTCAATATAAATCAATTCAATTGTCAAACCATGCGGTTCGAAAATGATATCAGAAAGAGAAGAACAAAATTAAATAGATAAATAAGCGAACTGGTCACATAAAAAATAATACGTAATGATACATCGTTTAATAATAAGCTATTTAAAAAAAAATCACCATTTTCGTCAAAATTTTATCGTCAAAACAAACAAACATATTTTATTTATCATCACACATCAGTAGAAGAATGTGAAATAATTGTCAGTTTTTCAAACGTTTCACCGCGAAATTTCATCGAATTAATAAATTACCTGAAGAAATACGTTTCAAAAGACGAAAAATAATTTCGTAATAAGTCCGCTTATAAAAGTCCAAATAGAATACATCAGTGATTTTGAATAAAGCTGCATCGGGAATGAAAAGCATAAAAACAAATACACTTTAACAATCAGACGAAGTCTTTCGATGATGATGTCACAGCATCCAGAATCGTTAAAACAATAAACAGCTGCATTGATATATAGCAAGTGTTTTTTTTTAATGCGTCATTATTCACAATGAATATTGCACTCACGTAAATTTGAACAAGAATCGGTAGATTATAATATCATTTCTTTGGCTTATATTTATGATGAAGATTAAAAGTGGTTAAAAACCAAACCAAGAGATAGAAAAAATCTTCATTTCTAAAAGGATCGAGTACTATCTGTCAAAATATTTCCCCCTATGCCAAGCGAAATTAATTCGATATACGGCGCTGATGTAAATGTCACTCTGTCATTTCACAATAATACTTTTTTGGCTTGACAATATATAAGCTCTTCATTTAAAATGCATACACATTCATAATTATTGAATCGTTGAAAAAAAAACATGTCATAAAATATTTTTCTAACATTTTTCATTAAAAAATTTATTAAAATTTTTTTTTTATAAAAAAATTAATTTGTTTATACGAGGGTTGCTCCATAATTTTTTTTAAAAACATATATAACACAGTTGTTTTTTGTCGAAAATGGTTTTATTGTTTTTCAAAATATTCCCCGAGATGATCGATACACTTTTGCATTCGATGAAACCATTTGTCATAGCATTCGTGCCACTCCGAAACTGATATCTCCAAAACGTGTGTTTTGAACGCTTCAACTGCTTCTTCTGGTGTCGAAAATCGTTGACCACGTAGTTTTTTCTTCACGCTTGGGAACAAAAAAAAGTCATTGGGTGCCAGGTCAGGACTGTACGGTGGATGACCCATCAGTTCGATGTTTTGACCGGTCAAAAATCGAGTAGTTTGAAAAGATGTGTGAGAGCTCGCATTATCGTGATGAAGAATTATTTTGCGACGGTGGCTGTTTTTTCTTATTTCACCAAACACTTCGGGCAAACAAATGGTGGTATACCAATCAGAATTGACGGTCTTACGATCCTCTAGTGGAACGGTTGCCACATGACCACTTCTCCCGAAAAAACAGGCGACCATTCGCTTCGAAGTGCTTCTTGCTCGAACAACTTTCGTTGGGTTATCTTCATTTTGGAAGACCCATACAGTCGACTGCTGTTTCGTTTCGGGCTCATAGGCATATATCCACGATTCGTCACCAGTGACGATTTTATTAACGTCTTTTGAAGCACCACGATTGAATTTCTTGAGCATTTCTTTACACCAACTCACACGAGCCATTTTTTGTTCATCGGTCAATTTATGTGGGATCCAACGAGAGCAAATCTTTTTTACGGCTAAATGTTCATGCAAAATTGTATGTATGCTGTGGGATGAAATGCCCAAAGATGCCTCAATCTCACGGTAGGTCACATGACGATCTTCCATAATCAGTTTTCTGACAGCATCGATGTTTTGTGGCACAACAGCCGATTTTGGACGACCTGTATGAAACTCGTCTTTGAGCGAACTACG